CTGCCTTTTCTTTTGCATTTAAATCTTTATTACAAGCAATCCTGTGGTTCATAAAGAACTTTGTTTTCCTTCCTCCACGAGTGCATCTATTATTGCCTTGTTTATCTAAAAGTGCTCTTTTCCGTTAATCCTAGCCAAAAAGCCATATCCTATGTGTTGATTGTGAAACACAGTAGACTTTAATTATATGCATTTATGGTGTAATTACTACATTATGTGTCAATCCATGATCATATTTACTGCAGACAATGCGCTGTTACTTTAATTCAGCGCTCGCAGCGCAGTAAAAATAGACTCGGTGCGGAAACAATGTCTGCACTGCAGCAGACGCACTGCTCCTGAACGCACTGCTGGACCACAACCGTGTGCAGTGAACGCTTTATTAATCCGTGAGGTTTAGAGGTCAATACATCTACTCTCAATCTCAATCAATCCAAACTCATCCAGAAGCACAGCATGCTTCCCTGTCTGTCACCTGGACTTTCAGCAGTCTGCCGCTGTAGGACTTGAAGTAACTGAAGTAGATCTTGCTCATGGTGTCCACGTACTCGTCCCGGATCTCCTTAGCTACTGTCCTCTCATTGGCTAACAGGAACTGATAGAAAAACCTGCAGATGAGCAGAAGCACATCCACAATCAGTATAGCGTTTCTCGCTCAACAGAAATTAGAAGTTAAAAGGATTGTTCAATCATGATAACTCTCGGAAGATTTTAGCATGGTAATGGATATGACAATGTTAATGTATTTGGTCTTGGCGGAACAGATCTGCTACGCTGCTGCTGAATTGCTGCTGCTGTTGGTTATTGCTGTAGTTGTAGATTATTGCTGCTGCTGCAAGCAAGTACAGGAACTTGCTACTGCCAATGCATACGGCGATACGGTGCCGTGAGTATTTAAGACATACTGCTGCTGTACAAATAGCATATATAATAACCCGTAGCAGATCTATACAGGTGGAGCTGGGGAAGGTGGAGGGTCTCAGAGAACACTGGAAGCGCGCTGCAGGAATCTCAAGTGAATGCTAGCCAGCCATATAAATGCAAGGCAGTAAGCTCATTGGCTGCATATGCAACATGAACCAATCAGCTTGTGCCAAGTTAACAACCCGTCAGCATGCGCCATCTAGAGTTTAATGACTGAACTATATATTTAAAAGTGGAGAGAATTATATTTTACTGTGTTTCCATTAGATATTGTTCTTATTTGTTATGGTGTCATGATGGCAGGATTTTTGAATTCACTTATTTTTGTCATTTCATTTCAGAAAGGCTTCGTTAAACTCAAGTAGGGATCAGTGACGGACCTTCAGTCCAGTAGACAGCCAATATTATGATTATTAAGGACGAATTAATAACCCACGATCTTTACATTCAGGGTATTGTGGAGTTTTCTGTTACAGGGTTGGAGGAAAAAATCCTACATGTGAGAAACGGCTTGTTTTAAAGGGAGAATGTCACAGCATAATGGGGTTGAGCCTGAGAGTGCAGAGACAAAGTCAAATTCTGCCTTCTGGGAGAAATCTTGTGCTGCTTCTTCTTATCCTAATGAAGCTGCGCACCTGAACTTGAGTAAGGTGTTCTGAGGGATCTGGTAGTTGGTCATGGGCTTTCTGAAGGAGTAGATCTTCTGCAGGATGAACTCACGGATCTTTGAGACGGCCTGTAATCAGGATCAGAGCAGAGAGAGAACTCAGTAGCGTTCATTTTCAATGCATCTGTTCTATTATCAAGAATGATGGGATCGCTGTAGAATCTTTGATGTGCTCTGACTTTAATTCTGAGGCGATCTACGATGTCCTGTATGTCGGAGCAGGCGAGGGTTTCTCTGAAGCTGAGCTCTTTAGCATAGTTGATCTTGCTGTTGAGCTCGTGAAGCTGCTCCAGAAACTCCTGCTCCGTCACAGTACTGTCCAGAATCACACTGAAACAGACACACACACACACACACACAGACAGTTCTTCACTGAGTGATTGAGAAGGTAAAGCGCTGCCTGTGATGAGAGGCTCTTACGAGATCATGGTGCTGGGAACGACCAGCTCGTCCACCAGCTGGCTGAGCTGACCGCGCACGGCCTGCCGGTTCTTCAGCCTCAGGTTCATGCTGACCGACTGCTGCTGCAGCGTCTGGATCTCGCTGCTGATGGAGGACAGGTCGCTCTGGAAGCTGCTCAGCATGCCCTCCATACGCTGCACACAGAGGAGCGCAGCAGCAAACTCAGCACAGCTTCACATTCATCTGTCCCACTGACAGCTCTAAATGTGCTCAAAGAGCCCAGCAGAACATCAGCCGAAATATGGATACAATATAGATATAAATACAAGTAATAAATAATAATATATTCCAAAAGTTACTTTGTAAATCATGCAGCTTTTCTTCTGAATTATAGTTTGTAGAATTGTAAACTTGAATGCGAGTTATTTATTCAGTGATGTCCATGTCAGAGTTTGTCAAAGCACAGTGTAAAGAGCAGAATACACTCACCTCCAGTATGGAGTCACAGGCTGTGATCTGGTTGTGTAAAGAGGCAATATTCTGACTCTCTTTGATATCTACACCAGCGCTACGGTTAAGGGTCTCTACAAACATCCATGACAGGTTCTGAACAATAAGACCTGATTATTGATCCATAAACCATGTTTCATGGGAGTGTCAGTCAAACAGAGGAGGAGAAAAACATTATGTGCAGAATCATAACGTTGACAGGAGGAAGCAGTTAAGTAAACATTTTTTTTTCTTTGGATGTGTCATAAATGCACTGAAGTATGGATACAGTCCTTGATTGATGCCTGCCAATGCATATGGCGATACGGTGCCGTGAGTATTTAAGACATACTGCTGCTGTACAAATAGCATATATAATAACCCGTAGCAGATCTATACAGGTGGAGCTGGGGAAGGTGGAGGGTCTCAGAGAACACTGGAAGCGCGCTGCAGGAATCTCAAGTGAATGCTAGCCAGCCATATAAATGCAAGGCAGTAAGCTCATTGGCTGCATATGCAACATGAACCAATCAGCTTGTGCCAAGTTAACAACCCGTCAGCATGCGCCATCTAGAGTTTAATGACTGAACTATATATTTAAAAGTGGAGAGAATTATATTTTACTGTGTTTCCATTAGATATTGTTCTTATTTGTTATGGTGTCATGATGGCAGGATTTTTGAATTCACTTATTTTTGTCATTTCATTTCAGAAAGGCTTCGTTAAACTCAAGTAGGGATCAGTGACGGACCTTCAGTCCAGTAGACAGCCAATATTATGATTATTAAGGACGAATTAATAACCCACGATCTTTACATTCAGGGTATTGTGGAGTTTTCTGTTACAGGGTTGGAGGAAAAAATCCTACATGTGAGAAACGGCTTGTTTTAAAGGGAGAATGTCACAGCATAATGGGGTTGAGCCTGAGAGTGCAGAGACAAAGTCAAATTCTGCCTTCTGGGAGAAATCTTGTGCTGCTTCTTCTTATCCTAATGAAGCTGCGCACCTGAACTTGAGTAAGGTGTTCTGAGGGATCTGGTAGTTGGTCATGGGCTTTCTGAAGGAGTAGATCTTCTGCAGGATGAACTCACGGATCTTTGAGACGGCCTGTAATCAGGATCAGAGCAGAGAGAGAACTCAGTAGCGTTCATTTTCAATGCATCTGTTCTATTATCAAGAATGATGGGATCGCTGTAGAATCTTTGATGTGCTCTGACTTTAATTCTGAGGCGATCTACGATGTCCTGTATGTCGGAGCAGGCGAGGGTTTCTCTGAAGCTGAGCTCTTTAGCATAGTTGATCTTGCTGTTGAGCTCGTGAAGCTGCTCCAGAAACTCCTGCTCCGTCACAGTACTGTCCAGAATCACACTGAAACAGACACACACACACACACACACAGACAGTTCTTCACTGAGTGATTGAGAAGGTAAAGCGCTGCCTGTGATGAGAGGCTCTTACGAGATCATGGTGCTGGGAACGACCAGCTCGTCCACCAGCTGGCTGAGCTGACTGCGCACGGCCTGCCGGTTCTTCAGCCTCAGGTTCATGCTGACCGACTGCTGCTGCAGCGTCTGGATCTCGCTGCTGATGGAGGACAGGTCGCTCTGGAAGCTGCTCAGCATGCCCTCCATACGCTGCACACAGAGGAGCGCAGCAGCAAACTCAGCACAGCTTCACATTCATCTGTCCCACTGACAGCTCTAAATGTGCTCAAAGAGCCCAGCAGAACATCAGCCGAAATATGGATACAATATAGATATAAATACAAGTAATAAATAATAATATATTCCAAAAGTTACTTTGTAAATCATGCAGCTTTTCTTCTGAATTATAGTTTGTAGAATTGTAAACTTGAATGCGAGTTATTTATTCAGTGATGTCCATGTCATCAAAGCACAAAGCACAGTGTAAAGAGCAGAATACACTCACCTCCAGTATGGAGTCACAGGCTGTGATTGTAAAGAGGTCTCTGCAAACGTCCGTCACAAGCTTGAAATAATAAGACTTGATTACTGAAACATAATCATGTTCACTGACAGAAACATTATATGCAGAATCATAACAGTGAATCTCATGAAGTAGTTTTCTTTCGATGAGCTGACATGTTTTGGTGTGATTCTGTCATAAATGCACTGAAGTATGGATACAGTCCTTGATTGATGCTTGTTCGATGCGCTGCAGCTCCGTCTCCACCTGTTTAGAGTACTGCCGCAGATCCACACCCTGATCCACACAAACACACGACACATGAGACACACACACACACACTCACACACAGACAAACACACACACAGACACAAGACTCATGAGCAGCAGATCAGCTTCATCTCACCGTCTTGAGCGCCTCCTTCACCAGATCATCCTCCAGATTCGCTTGAATGTGAACTGAAAGTGTCAAATAACAAGGAACTTACTAGTGCATTCTGGAAATAAGCTCCCTGCACTTCCCTTAGCCAATGAAACACATAAACCCAAACACAGAACTTACTGTCCACCTCGTCCAGGATGAGCTCATCTGTGGTGATGTCCAGATCCCCCAGATTCAGAGCAGGGACCACATCAAAGTCAGACTTCTACTGACACATGACAGAGAGAGAGAGAGAGAGACAGAGAGAAAAAGAGAGAGAGAGAGAGAGAGAGAGACAGAGACAGAGAGAGAGAGAGAGAGAGAGACACAGTCAATGCAAGCATCAGTACAGACTCAAACACATCATCCCGAGAGCAGCGGTAGCCAATGCAAAGCCAAACAAACGCTCTACTGCCATCATTACATGAACCGGGAGGACCGGACGTTTTAATATTTGGAAAGAATGTAACTGTAAAACATTATGTAAATATCGTTAAAAAAATCACAACCATATTACAACGATAAACAATAACATGATTGCTAATGTCAGTACATTCAATAATTATTTAAACCCTTTAAAGAAGGTTGAAGGCAGGAGCACACTTGATATCAATAATTAAGAAAAAAAAAACTATTTACAGATAATTGCACTCTTATTGTCACTTTCAAAAAACTACATTAATACATAATGACTATTGGTGGGTAGAAACGCCACAAATATCACTCCAATTTCAGAGAAAAGCTGCAGCAAATTCAGTCACAAAATAATAATAATAATAAGACATCTTGCAGATTCTTCTTTTCACACATACTACCATCTACTTTAACAAAGTGTGCAGCGTCATGGCTTCAGTTTCTTACACTGTAAGTTTCTCTCCTTTTTATAATAAACCTGTAATATCCCCTTCTCTATTAGATATAATTAGATATTACATATTATATAACTAGATATTGCTTATATACATCACAGAGATATATATATATCCTGATGGGACTAAACTGACTGAGTTCTGCAGGTGAACACAGCTGCTGATATGCTGATGTTTAAACAAATATCTAATAAAGTCATTAAAGTAATAAAGTTCCTTGAGTTTTGGTGGCGTGTTTAAAATATTATTGGCACTTGTCATTTATTATTAGTCATTTTTGCATGCGAGTATAAGCTATACATGCATACACAACCGAGAAAACAGCAGGAGAAATATGAGAATAATCAACGCAGGTAAATAACAGAGGACTGCACTAGACTGTCACTTTGTGCCATATTGTGTCAATGCGTTTGACACGTCCCTGCACTGTCACGTGACCTCACTAACATGACACCCGAACATGAGATATCTAAGATGTTGAGAGGAATAACGAGCTGCACAGGCCGATATCAGCAGTAGCGGGGATATTTCAGTGAAGTCCTCATCACCTCGTCCTGTAGATACGCCGCAGAATCAGCGCCGGAGTTCAGATGCACAGCTCCGGTGAGCAGCGCCTCCGCCATTGCATCTGTAGTTCAACTTCACAAAGACTACACTTCCGTTCAGTTTCACAGTCACACTGAAAAATCTTAAGAAACCCACTTAAGAAAGAGTAAAAGCTCTGGAATATATACTAAAGCCTACTAAACAGCATCAACTGCGCTTTATATTTTTAAACATCATCGCTTTAAAATACTGTTTTAGTTCGCATCGGCCCGTCGGACATTTGCATCGTGACAGAACACGTTCCTGTCGAGTTCGCGCGTCAGCGGTGAAATTATCGCGAGATCGGGTTCACTTCCTTTTTGCGCGGAACCAGCGGACAAGATGGTAGGCATGAAATAACGTCCTGAACATTGTAGTTGAAATCTTGCAACATCACGCTTATTTGCGAGTGTTTAATAGCACTGATTTAACATCTTGTTATTTTAATACATATAGAATATATTTAAGTGAACGTTTCTGGTTTACAGAATAGAGTTTAAGTTAAATGAGTGACGGAAAGGCCGCGCTCAGTCAGCGTACTAAACTGCTCAATGGTGTTAACATGTTTTCGTTTTTAACAGATGTTTACGTTGTGTTTATTTAGGGCAGAGCGCGCGACACTTGAGTTAGTGTGTAGTTTCAGTGAGTCTGTTCATCAGTGTATTACAGCACAGTTCAGACGGACTGGACGCGCGTTTAAACCGTGTGTGTGTGTGTGTCGCTCCTCAGTCGCTCGTCATTCCAGAGAAGTTCCAGCACATCCTGCGTGTCCTGAACACCAACATCGACGGAAGACGCAAAATCGCGTTTGCCATCACCGCCATCAAGGTGAGCTTGCGCTGCACTGAAGCGTTCCGCACAAACACTAGAATACCTCAGGGGACTTTGTGTGTGTGTGTGTGTGAGAGTGTGTGTGTGAGAGAGTGTGTGTGTGTGTGTGAGTGAGTGAGTGTGTGAGTGAGTGTGTGAGTGTGTGTGAGTGAGTGAGTGTGTGAGTGAGTGTGTGAGTGTGTGTGAGTGAGTGAGTGTGTGAGTGAGTGTGTGAGTGTGTGTGAGTGAGTGAGTGTGTGAGTGAGTGTGTGAGTGTGTGTGAGTGAGTGAGTGTGTGAGTGAGTGTGTGAGTGTGTGTGAGTGAGTGAGTGTGTGAGTGAGTGTGTGAGTGTGTGTGAGTGAGTGAGTGTGTGAGTGAGTGTGTGAGTGTGTGTGAGTGAGTGAGTGTGTGAGTGAGTGTGTGAGTGTGTGTGAGTGAGTGAGTGTGTGAGTGAGTGTGTGAGTGTGTGTGAGTGAGTGAGTGTGTGAGTGAGTGTGTGAGTGTGTGTGAGTGAGTGAGTGTGTGAGTGAGTGTGTGAGTGTGTGTGAGTGAGTGAGTGTGTGAGTGAGTGTGTGAGTGTGTGTGAGTGAGTGAGTGTGTGAGTGAGTGTGTGAGTGTGTGTGAGTGAGTGAGTGTGTGAGTGAGTGTGTGAGTGTGTGTGAGTGAGTGAGTGTGTGAGTGAGTGTGTGAGTGTGTGTGAGTGAGTGAGTGTGTGAGTGAGTGTGTGAGTGTGTGTGAGTGAGTGAGTGTGTGAGTGAGTGTGTGAGTGTGTGTGAGTGAGTGAGTGTGTGAGTGAGTGTGTGAGTGTGTGTGAGTGAGTGAGTGTGTGAGTGAGTGTGTGAGTGTGTGTGAGTGAGTGAGTGTGTGAGTGAGTGTGTGAGTGTGTGTGAGTGAGTGAGTGTGTGAGTGAGTGTGTGAGTGTGTGTGAGTGAGTGAGTGTGTGAGTGAGTGTGTGAGTGTGTGTGAGTGAGTGAGTGTGTGAGTGAGTGTGTGAGTGTGTGTGAGTGAGTGAGTGTGTGAGTGAGTGTGTGAGTGTGTGTGAGTGAGTGAGTGTGTGAGTGAGTGTGTGAGTGTGTGTGAGTGAGTGAGTGTGTGAGTGAGTGTGTGAGTGTGTGTGAGTGAGTGAGTGTGTGAGTGAGTGTGTGAGTGTGTGTGAGTGAGTGAGTGTGTGAGTGAGTGTGTGAGTGTGTGTGAGTGAGTGAGTGTGTGAGTGAGTGTGTGAGTGTGTGTGAGTGAGTGAGTGTGTGAGTGAGTGTGTGAGTGTGTGTGAGTGAGTGAGTGTGTGAGTGAGTGTGTGAGTGTGTGTGAGTGAGTGAGTGTGTGAGTGAGTGTGTGAGTGTGTGTGAGTGAGTGAGTGTGTGAGTGAGTGTGTGAGTGTGTGTGAGTGAGTGAGTGTGTGAGTGAGTGTGTGAGTGTGTGTGAGTGAGTGAGTGTGTGAGTGAGTGTGTGAGTGTGTGTGAGTGAGTGAGTGTGTGAGTGAGTGTGTGAGTGTGTGTGAGTGAGTGAGTGTGTGAGTGAGTGTGTGAGTGTGTGTGAGTGAGTGAGTGTGTGAGTGAGTGTGTGAGTGTGTGTGAGTGAGTGAGTGTGTGAGTGAGTGTGTGAGTGTGTGTGAGTGAGTGAGTGTGTGAGTGAGTGTGTGAGTGTGTGTGAGTGAGTGAGTGTGTGAGTGAGTGTGTGAGTGTGTGTGAGTGAGTGAGTGTGTGAGTGAGTGTGTGAGTGTGTGTGAGTGAGTGAGTGTGTGAGTGAGTGTGTGAGTGTGTGTGAGTGAGTGAGTGTGTGAGTGAGTGTGTGAGTGTGTGTGAGTGAGTGAGTGTGTGAGTGAGTGTGTGAGTGTGTGTGAGTGAGTGAGTGTGTGAGTGAGTGTGTGAGTGTGTGTGAGTGAGTGAGTGTGTGAGTGAGTGTGTGAGTGTGTGTGAGTGAGTGAGTGTGTGAGTGAGTGTGTGAGTGTGTGTGAGTGAGTGAGTGTGTGAGTGAGTGTGTGAGTGTGTGTGAGTGAGTGAGTGTGTGAGTGAGTGTGTGAGTGTGTGTGAGTGAGTGAGTGTGTGAGTGAGTGTGTGTTGTGTTTAGTAAGAGTGTGTGTGTGTGTGTTGATCTCTGACCTCTCTGTTCTGCTCTGCAGGGGGTGGGGAGGCGCTATGCTCATGTGGTGCTGAGGAAAGCAGACATTGACCTGAGCAAGCGGGCTGGAGAACTCACTGAGGATGAGGTGCGCTTCATTTTCAGCAGAGAAAACCATCAAAAACACCAAAGCGTTCACTGTTTTAAATATCAGTCACAGAACTGGTGCTCCGCTTTACAGACACTGAAGAATCATGATCAAATGAGGAGAACATTGACCACAAAGAAGACCATATCAGTTATTTTGAAGTCTCAAATGAAAATGAGGTGTGATCATGTGTGAGTCCATACAGGCGTTTACAGTAACGTTTATTGATTGACAGGTGGAGAGGGTGGTGACTATTATGCAGAATCCTCGCCAGTACAAAATCCCCGACTGGTTCCTGAACAGACAGAAGGACATTAAAGACGGGAAATACAGTCAGGTACGCTCCGAGTGCTGCTTTAACCTTCATTGTTTTAGTATGATTTTTTTGTCGTGATAAAGGGTCGACTGCAAAATCTGGTCTTTTTTGGGCTTCTGGGCTTGTCTGAACATACCGTGTTGAAGAGGCCCTGTTAGTGGGTACCGACTGGACCCTGATTGTGTGTAAGTGTGAGGTGAGGCGGATAAGAAGCACCACTCAGATTATTTTTGTTCTGTAACTGCTGTGTGAGGTTTAGTAGGCTGTGCAATATCTGAACTGCTTTAAAAAAAAATCTTCTGAATCTGGCCGTGATGAGCTGATTTGACCTGCCTATATTTTATTTAATGTTTAAGAAGCGGAGCCCATCTTAAATCTGAACGCAGGGCTCCACACTAACATGAGAGCGGTGGCCCTGACGTCTGCAGATCCTCTATAGTATTAGATATGTTGTATATCATGGTAACCACAGGTGAAACCCATGACTGTCTCCTCACTGCCATGGTAAGAAGAAAACTCTGTTAAACTGCTGTTTATGAAAAACGCTGTCCGAAACATTTAGTATAGTTATGAAGCTGTGGCATTTATAACAATTATTTACTGTATTTCTTTACTCTTGCAAGACATTTGCACAATATATGGGACTGTAATAATACCGTGATATGCAATACAAATTTACCACATTTCTGTCCAAAATACCATGATTACTGTTAGTGGTACTGAAGCAGGTCCTTATGAAATACTGGTGCTGTTTCATCAGGCGTTAAACTGGTTTAAATCACTGAGGCTTTCGGGTTCTCACTGGAGCCTGCAGCGCAGGTTAATAATGGCGTCACAAACGCACCTGCTAACGCAAACGTTTCCTTAACTCACCTGAAACTGGTCTTCAAGTGCAGTGTGCTCGTCTTGGGCACGAGCCGTTTAGAAGGACGCTCTGTGTGGAGGAGGTGTAGTTTCAGTAACTGAGTGTGGATGTGGTTTTCTGCAGGTCCTCGCTAACGGTCTGGACAACAAACTGAGAGAAGATCTGGAGCGTCTGAAGAAGATCAGAGCTCACCGCGGCCTGCGTCACTTCTGGGGGTGAGTTTCTGCAGCGCACGAGTCTAGGGTCTTAAAGAGAGTGCTCAGAGACACGGGGACTTCCTGCTTAAATGCAGCACTTAGTTAAACGTTACTATTTACAACGTTGTTTCTGCAGCGTTGAGCGATGTAGCCAATCACAGGCAGATCTGTTGCGCAGTGGCCAATCAGGCGTTTTAGTTGGTCAGAATTCACTCGCTGCTGAAAGGGCTGGAGTTTTTATTAAGAGCAGTCATAACTAACAAAGTACAGATGCAATGTAAACGAGATGCATTGTGCAGTTTAGAGAGCTTCGTTGATATCAGAACTTACGAATGCTTTAGTGATGATAAAGGGAGCGTGCTTTCTATGCTATAATCCATTCAGATTTTGCATTAAACTTATGTTTTTTGGACACACACTGCAAAGTTTCAGGAACGACATGCACATATTTATACTGTATTCACTCTCGGGATAGCAGTGATTGACACGGTGATAACCATAGCAGTGAGATCAGTTCATGGACCAAAAACCTGTGTAAACTGAGATCGGGACATATCAACCAGTAATTCATTTCCAGTAGCCTACGGTAGGAAGTTCAGCAATGAATGGTATGTGATTTCTGACTGAATCTAGTCCCACAGCCGACTCGAGAGCGAGATGTTGCTCATGACAGGGAGATGTGTTCGGTGAGTGATGTGATGGAGGGTTTACTCTGTCGTCTCTTCTCTCCTCTAGTCTGCGTGTGCGCGGTCAGCACACCAAGACCACCGGTCGCCGCGGCCGGACTGTGGGAGTGTCCAAGAAGAAGTAAACCTTCAATAAAAGACAACTGTTTAGCCAATCTGTGTCCTGCTGTCTTCACTGATCCTGTCAGCTTATCACTATAGCTGTAATCTATCAGTTCTGCCTTAAGATAATGAGCTACCTCTGATGATTCGATACTGGTCCTTTATAAGACCCTGAGAAGGCAGTTAAAGTGTTAGTTCACCCAAAAATGAAAATTCTGTCATTAATTACTCACCATCGTGTCGTTCCAAACCCATAAGACCTCCGTTCATCTTCAGAACACAAAGTAAGATATTTTTGATTAATTCTGACAGCTGTAATTACCACGATCAAGGAGATCAGTAAAATAATCCATGTGACATCAGGGGTTCAACCGTAATATTACGACGCTACGAGAATACTTTTTGTACGCAAAGAAAACTAACATAACGACTTTATTCAACAATTCGTTTCCTCCGCGTCACCCTGGTGCCATTTTGGAGAGTATCAACTGAACGCAAACAGCGTATGCTATTCTGTGTCAGCTGCGAAAGTATTCTCGTAGCTTCCTAATATTACGGTTGAACCCCTGATGTCCCATGGATTATTTTACAGATCTCCTTGCTACATTTCTGGATGTTGATCGTGGTAATTACGTTGCTGTCTATGGGAGGGTCAGAGAGCTTAATTTGTTTTCCGAAGATGAACGGAGGTCTTACGGGTTTGGAGCGACATGAGGGTGAGTAATTAATGACAATGTATAGTTTTGGGTGAACTAACCCTTTAAGGGCATCATCAGTTATAAAAGCCTCACCTTCCAGACTCGTCAAGTTCAACAGTCTCATAGTCCAGTATAAATGTGTCCATCTTTATTAATGAAAAAGATGCAGTAAGGCAGTTTTTCAAGGCATGGGTGAATGTACAAAAACTAATTAGGAAAGTAATGAAATAACCATTTTAACCACTACATCCAGTTTTTCCCTTGAATGCTGATAATTTCTGTTCCTCTGACTTCAATTCTATGAAAGCTTGTTTCCACCTTGCTTGTGACTTTAATCTCAAAATCCTGACCTTTTTCTCAGATATGTGTATTTTGTTACCGAAACAAAATAACTTAATTGTGATTGTAATTGGGACTTTTATTCTCATAATTGTGAGGGGGGAAAAAAGTTGCAATTCCCTTCGTTTTTATTTTGTGGTTGAAACAAGCTTCCATTCAATTCAGATCCACAAATATGGCCACCTTTAAAAAGAAAAAAACCCATCATGAAGGTGTCTGTTGCTCTGTATCTGTCATTTCTGACCAGAGCCTAGGGTATGTTATAACCTTAATATTAGGGTTAATAGATTAAAATAACCAATTAAGTCTCATGATTATTGTAATCATATTATTGCAGTCACTTCCATTTAAAACAGACCATATTAAATCAGTTTGACTATCGTAAACCGTCATCCATCAGATCCATCCATCCTGCGTGGTCTGGTATCCGAAACTCATCTATCAACCCAAGAGGCAGGAGACAAGTGAAGAAGTGATGGTGAAAACAAGCATTTAAATCATTGAATGAATGAAATTATAAATGAACAAGAACAGAAAAGGACACAAAAGCATGGCTGCTACTAAGAATCCATAGATCTACAGACTCTGGCCAAAGGGAGTTTTCTTTACTCCTCTTGAATCTTTAAACAAGGTATTTCACCAGCACACAACGCTGCAGGGGACTTGCTGAATTTAGGGCCTGTCCCAAACCCCACAGGTGCAGTCTATACGCACTACTTGTCTATTTACATGAAGGTGTGGAGAACATCTGTGACCTGATGGGACACATTTACGACAGCTTTATTAACACATTGAGATTTTCAACACTTTACACTTTAAAATAAGCTTAGAAATGTCTGTTCAGTCTGTGACAGACAACACAATTTAATAGTGATAAAGAGCAGTTACAATTGTTTTACGAAATATACAGTCATCATTTTATCACTAAATTATAATCGCTAATTAATTATACTTTGACTGGAAAGCCTCTCGTTGATTTCAGGGTATGCAAACTCCTGAATATGAATGATGGGATGCACTCGGTCTCGGATATCACAGTATTAGAGAAGCAGTGTGTCGAGGCAGTATTCAGAGCCTGGACCGTCTTGTGCTCTCTTGCCGTCACATACATGTGCTCTCCGTGTGGGAATAGGAGCAGGCCCTTATTTTCCACAAACACACAGTTAATGGCTCGGCTTTACTGTTGGAGCTACTGTACATAAGATTAAGTGGATGAGCAGCACTGATCTCTGCAGTCCTTCAGTGGGTTTCTGCAGAAAGAGGCCGTCGTTGTCCTTTAGGTTAGCGATGCCTCCCCTTGGCTTCCGTCCATCTGTCCCAGTCGAGGCATCTGGTTCTGGTCTGTAGGAGCGTAGAAGAGCTCCAGAGGCTTGCAGAGCTTCCAGAACTTCTGGTTCACCAGCTCAAGCGTCAGAGAGCCGTTCAGTGTCTGAAAGACAGAGAGGATGAAGACAGCACAAGCTAAACTCAAATCTGTGTCTGACGGCAGCAGCGTGACTCACGGAGAACTGTCCCGCTGCTGTGCTGATGTAGATGCTGAACTGTTTCTCGCTGATGTCCTGCAGGGCTCCCGGCTCTCCCTCCACGCTCGCACCCTCCTCCAGAGCCAGGCGCAGAGCCAGGTACTTCGACAGGTGGTCCACCGTGGCGCTGGCTGTTGTTTTGACGTATCTGTGAGCAGAAGAGAGTTACACTCCCATCCATGAAGCTTTAGGAGCGCACACACACCATGTTTAATCAATCATCTACTGACACGTTCTGGAAGAAAGAGCTCATCCTGGCCTTAAAGTGGAGCTCAATTTCAATGTCACAAAGCTCTTACACTTTACTCTGTAATGCCTTCATGCTTTAAACTCGTGCTGCAGCACTGAAGAATCACCCTCAGTCACAGTCTGCTTACGCAGGGTTTATGAAGGCAACTTTAAGGAATACATCGAATAGAAAACAATACATCTATATGGTCTCTAAGCATAAAGGTCTTGTGTTAGCAACACTTCAAAGTTTTTAAAATACATCTCCCAACAGCTCGTCAGTACTTTAGAATTCATTTTACAAAAGCAAAAATAAAATAAGAAAAACAAAACAGCTTAAGGCTTGAATAGCTCTGCTCCCAAACACCAGAATATGGAAATAACTTCACTGTACCTCAGTATTTGGTCTTGTTTTCCAGTGGAAAATGTCTAACGTTTCTTAAATCGAGATACATTTACTGGAGAAGCGAAATTAGATCAAATAAGAAGTCTTGTTTTAGAAGAAATTGATCAAAGTGTTTATGATTAAAACAAAAACAAATATCTGCCAAAAATCAACTTCATTCAAAGGCAAAACGAGTTTTCATTCCCTGCTGGCAGATATTTGTTCTTGCTTTAAGCGTAAACTCCTCATGTGGAAGGGTGAATTAGGAGCTCTATCAGACCCTGCTGTACCTCGTCTGGCTGCACTGTTGGTTGTCGACCAGCAGGGGATGTGGGCAAAACACGAGCTCAATCTCTGAGCCGGGGCCGTGTCGAGGAGGAGTGCGGCTCTCTCCCAAAGCCTCAGGTCCAGAGTCGTCTGACAGGTGCGCTGGGTTACGGCGGCTGGGTCCGGCCTCTGCGGCGCAGCTCGCTGGAGCAGAGTCATGTGAGATGTGTGAGCGAGCGTCACCGTTGTCCTCACCACCGCTGACTGTAGCGGTCTCACTCTCCGGATGCAGCTTACGCACGCGCTGAGCTCTACAACACACAGAAAACGACTTCAGAAACTGAACTGTTTAGCCCACGGCCAAGCTTCGTTACTTGCTTCACATAAGTGCATCTTAGAGTCATTGACATGATAAAATACATGAAAAGCAGAAGATACTAGGAGTGACCTGTGTCTGGCCTGCATGCGCAGCCCCTGCTCGATGCTGCTGCTCAGAGCCTCTTTGTTGTGCAGGAGACTCAGCTGCTCCAGAACCTTGTCCTGGTGCGCCTCGTACTCGTCACGGCTCGGGTACATCTTCGAGATCAGTGCGTCGAAGTTGGGGTCGGCACGTAGAGAGCGCTTGGACACCAGCTTCTTCCTGCAGGTGGGACACTCTTTATTCCTGCAGCAGAAAATAAGAGAAGGGCAGTGCTGAGCAACAGATCTCTGAGTAACAGGAAGTTAATGGAAGAAATGGATCTGAAGATGTGGTGGCACCCCGATCGAAGCGCGGTGACGATGCACTCGGAGCAGAAGCGATGCAGACACTCTTTGGTGGTCATGGTGTTCTTCAGCATGTCCAGACAGATGGGGCACATCAGCTCGCTGTGGAGGCTTCTGGGAGACACGGCGATCTCCGTGCTGTCCATGATCGCCTCCTGAAACAACAGCACACATGCGAGGAACTATGCGCTGAATATCCTGCTTTTACAGAAAATACAATGAGGTAAACAGTAGAGCAGGAGTTGATTTTTACCCACTTCTCCACAATGTCTAATACGAGTCTGTTCTAATTTCACGTTGACTGTTGAATGTGATCAGTTTCACTGGTGTTTGTGTTCTGCTGTGACCCACATTATCAGGATCAGTGTACTCGTGATGTAGAGTGTGTTGAGCTTTCAGGTCTCTATCCTCTCAGTATGAGGATATCCAGCCGCCCGCATTAGTTACATATGCTAAATATACTAAACTTTGTGTGTGTGTGTGTGAGTGAGTGTGAGAGTGAGT